GTTAGAAAGAGAAACCTGCAGCTAAAATGTGTAAGAAAATATAAAAACTGTTTTTTTTTTTTTTAAGTTGATCGTTAAGATAAAAAAGCTATAACCTTTAATTTAAAGTCCTCATGAGAAAATGCTGTTTGATATATTTGCAAACCAAAAAAAAAAAAACAGTTTTTATATTTTCTTACACACTTAAGCTGCAGGTTTCTCTTTCTAACAGGCAGTTCCTCTCCATGTTGGATTGAGAGGACGGATTTCCTTTAAGGTAACTAATGAATAAAATCTGCAGGGTTTTAATTTATGCATTTAATAACCAGAAGAATTTGTCTTTTTTTAAATATTGTAAACATATGTGATCATTTTGATGCAACTGAAGAATTGGATGCATTTGTGTAAACCCGCTTTGCATTGCTGCAGTATGAATATTTTTAAACTCAATATTATCAGAAGTACTTTAAATTCTATTGAATGCTGGGTAATTTTTTTCATATTTTCAAATTTAGACAAAGAATTTCAGTAATTAGACAAAAAAAAAACGGAGAAAGAGAACTTCTGTCAGATAAAATGTATTTTTCCAGGTTTAAAATAATTTTTTTGTTCTGATTTAATGAGTTATTTTCACCTAAATTGTTGGAAATAGACTCCTGAATCCGGTAATGATGTTTATTATTCACTTTAGATTGTTTTCATCTCTTTGATCTCATTTTTACTGTTTTCTAATCGCTTCCTCATTAAGCCTGGTGTACGTATGCAGCGCCCCTACAGTCCGATATGCGTTACTACAGCTACCTTTAGGGCTTCCTCATTTTACCTGTTTTCAAAGGATCCAGCTGAGTTTATACTGAAGTAAATCTTTACATCTTTTGTATTTTTGTCAGTTTTCCACATGTTAAATAAAAAAAAGGCTTTGAAAAGAACCAATGAGTTTATTTTTTCTGGGTTCATGTGTGTGGATGTAATGTCAGGTTTTCTCATATAATAAAAATATATTATTCATTTCAGAAAATCAAGTAAAATTACAAGTTTAACACTCAAACTTGCATGATTCATGGTAAATATCATTAAATGACATGGATTATTCTTTTTTCTATATTAAAAAAACAGAATTATTCCAGTTTTCCTTCCTTTAGTCTTAAGACCAACAATCTTCCTGATCCCTTCTTCAGTGAACAAATTAATTTCTGTAAACATGCATGTTTACACATTAAGACAACAAAAGTAATGTGGATAAATGTTTTTATTAATGACAATAGAAATATAAACTTACATCCATTTACTTTTTAAAAAAGTTTTTTTTTTGTTTTTTGCCAGCAAGAAACATGTTTAATAAATTGATAAAAATAAAATTGACATCAATCTACAGCAGATGATAAAAGAAAACATAAATCACGGATTTATTAAACAATTTATTTGAATAAAATAATTAAATTGAGTAAACTAAAGCAAAAACAAACCAAATAAAAACCATTTTCTGCTGGTCTCTAGCTGCTCCTCCTGGTGGGATTCTTCGCCATCCCAGCTTCGTATTTGTGTCTCTCAGCTCCCTGCTTTAAAAACAAAAGCATGAATTAGATGAATCGAAAAAAAAAGAGACTATTTTCCTCCCTGAAATCTGCTCTTTGTGCATCCAGATGATAAAAAGGTTTTTAACATAGAAAGACCAGTAAAAAGAAATATGGAGTGAATGTTGTTCAGGTATTGTGGCAAAAAAGAAAACAATCCAGTGGACTTTATTTCTAAGTTTGAAGACGTTTCTCTTCCCATCCAGGAAGCTTTTTCTATTCAAAATGTCAGAAATAGCATTTAGTTTGATGCTTTATAGAGGGGACCAACAAAGCCTTGTTTTTGTTTACGGAAAGCTATTTTTTGCATTTTTTCTAAGCAAAAACAAGGCTTTCTTGGTCCCCTCTATAAAGCATCAAACTAAACGCTATTTCTGACATTTTGAATTGAAAAAGCTTCCTGGATGGGAAGAGAAATGTCTTCAAACTTGGAAACAAAATCCACTGGATTGTTTTTTAACTTTTTTGGAATAACTATGACCTGGATGACTGAGAATCTTCACCAACATTCAGCTATTATTGCAAACAAATAACATGTTTTATAGATTGACATGTGAAAAAAAAATAAAATCCAGAAATTCCACTTTGAAACACGTCCTAATTAATAAAAGGTTTTAAGAGATTAGATTTTTGGGGGGAAAAAAAACAAAATACAAAAATTATATATATATATATATATATATATATATATATATATATATATATATATATATATATATATATATATATATTTTTTTTTTTTTTTTTTTTTTTTTTTTTTTTTTTTTTTTAGTACTATATTTCCAAATTGCATTTTACAGATGAGATTTTCAAAAGATCCATTTCTAATCATCTGCATGGACGTGGATTTTAGTGGACTGAAAGTAAAGAGAACGTGATCTGGAAAAAACAATTAGGAAATAATTCAAACTGTAAAACAATGTAAAAATATACATTTTTGAAATTAATTTATAAAAATGTAATATGAAAAAGAAAATCAAAAAGGAAACAATGTGCACTCCTGTAGATACAATTGCCTTCAGATAGATAGATAGATAGATAGATAGATAGATAGATAGATAGAAATTCAGCTATCACAGCCTATAAATGTAGAGAAAATATCCATATAGGTATTAAACATTTATATTTAATCTTTTACCTCTAAATGTTAGGAGGGGAAACGCTAAATGTGAAGCAAGTGTCTAACAGAAATTTTATGATTCATTTTTTGTTCTTTTTTTTTTATTATTTACAACAGGTGTTCTGTCAGACCAGCATAACCAATACGCATGTGCAGGACGTCCCATTTGCATTTATCCCTTTAGTTTTGTATGAAAAAAAAAAACAATTTAAGGTCAAGATGGACAAATGCTTCAAAAAACACCAAAAAGTAAGTAATTAAATCGTTTTTTGTAGATGGATACACGGCCATTGAGGTGGTTTAAAGTGTATTTTTCATACAAAACTAAAGGGATAAATCAAAGGTGTAACTTTGTAATGAAAGTTGGGGGGGGCACTCTAAGGCTGGGGGCTGATGGAGCTACAGTTACTCCACCCAAACGCTTTCATTAGGTTTTCGTATTTTCCAAAAATGAGCTCAAACATCTATTTAATGAATGCTTTCCTATTATTGAGAACACAAGAGAACTATAATACACATATATTTATATTTATAGATAGTTAGAAAGATGTCTTTTAGTGCATTATATATATTTATGGCCCCAAAAACATTCATGTCTAAAAAAAAACCAATAACAGCCGATTCCGATGCTAAAATCAATATATCATGGCTAGAAGTATATTTTAATTCCATCCATCCAGAAAAATATGGATATGCTGCATTTTAATTATAGAATAGCATATTTTTTTCCTGTAAACTTTGTGGTAAAATTGGAGATATTTTATAGCATGTTGAAAATCCCAGTAAATGTGTTTCACCTTTAAATCTGCAGCTCTCCCTACTTCTCTCTGTGCCGTTTAAAAAGATTCATTAACCTCTTTTCTAATATAATGATGCCAGAAACAAAATGTCAAGATATGTAGAAGCTCTGCAGTCTGATTCTGTCTGTTCAATCAGAAAAGATTTTAACCTGTAACTGGGAGTCATGGTCCTCTGAGAAGCCAAGATTTTTTTTAACTAGTAAAGAAAAACAAAAATCTGTTTTCTAAAGCTTCCTGCATTATAATGCAGCTGAGCAGGCTCAGTGGCAGAGGGTAGCCGAGACAGGACGTGGAACCACAACTTGATGCAGGACTTTAAACTGGTCTCCTCCCTGGAGCCAGGCTTACTTGGATAAAAACGGAACCTCACCACATATCGAGCCAAAAACCCAGAGGACTCCGCGGGGGAGGAACAGTGGACGATCGGGAGACGAGACAAACACTAAAACCCTCTTTCCACTGGCTGCCAGGATCCTGGACAGGAACCATGAAATCAAAAACTGAACGGACAGACTAACAGAAAGACAAGTAATGATCTGGCCCTGAATGCTCAGGCTGAACTGAATATAAACCAGAGGAAACAGGTGAGAGGAAT